GCTTCCTCCTGCTCCGGCTGCCGCTCGCACAGGCGCCCTGTCCTCCCTGCCGGCCGCTGCCCAAAGCTGCCCGGCCACACGCTCGTGCCTGGGAAGGCCCTTCCCCAGTTACRGGCAAGTGCTGGCGAGGGACAAAACCCCTCCCGAGTCCTGCAGAYAAACACTAAGCCCCACGGAGCAAACCGAGAGGCGCTAGAAACAAGGACACTGTTCCAATTAACGCAGCTGTCCCAAGAACGAAGCAGGAAATTCCAGAGCAGCATGGCTGCAGCTCGGCACAGCTAGCCTTGTGGGAGTCAGGGAGGCAGGCTCAGGCAGGAGCGGCTGGAACCTGGCTCCAGGAGAGCTCAGGCTCGCAGGGACTCGCAGGGTGAGGGGCAAGTGTGCGAGAGGATTCCCTTTCAGTCCTGTTACTGGCTGGGTCAGGGCACCTAGCGTGATATTTGGGAGAAAGAACAAGGTTGGTTTCTTCACCTTCCTAAGCAGCCAGGGTGCCAACTGCTGGGGCTGTGGAATTTGTGTCCAGGTGAAAGTGGCAGCGGTGGCTTTTGGCCAAGAAGCAGCACAGGGTTGACTGGGGCCACCCAAGCCACACACCCACCCACAGCTCAATCCCTGTACGTGTTTGAACGGTGCTTCTGCCTCAGTTCAAAATATAAATGCTRGTGACATGTGGTGGTATCCTAACATACTCCTCAGCAAAGTACAGTCTGATGAATTAATGTAAACAGTGAGCAGTCTTACTATGTAGAAATATAAATACAAAACAAAGTTGAAGAAAAAAAAACTCTAGCTGAATGTTCTTCTGTGCCCCACAGTAACATTCACCAGTACATTAGACAATGATGCACACTTCACATTTTATAATGTCTTATTGTTTCAGTGAAGTAAATTATATTTTCATGATGACTTTTACAATTGAATATTAAGTTAGAGTCTTCATAACTTTTAGCAGCATCACACACAAAGCTATCTGGAAGAACTCTATAAATATCATTTTGCTCTTGACATTTTAGACCATAACTTGAATCCAGCTGCAAACTTCCATTACGTTCTCTACTTAATAAACACAAGTCAGGTTAATTTAATGCCTGATGAAAGCTGTAATCTGTAAATCACAACCATTACCTTTCTAACTGGAGCAGGATCACACACACCAGGGACCGAGTCCACAGGAGAAGACACAGGGAAGAAAAGATTGCTGACGTCGTGGGGAAACATGGAGATTTCGTTCTGACGATACATTCTGTGGTGGCGAAGTTTYGCTACCCACTCATCAAACAATTCCTGAGATTTCACCTACATGAAATTGCAAGTTTTAGCACATCCACATTCRAAATTGTTAACAGACAAACAAAATCCTAATGTATTTTCTGCCCACGAGGCAGCTAGCCTGACCAACTTTTATCAGCAAGAGATCAGTGAAGTTTTTCTGATGCTTTAATGGAATTTTGATTTTGGTGAAGAAACCATCACATCATCAMCTGTTCATCAAACCAATTATTTATACAACAAAGAAATGGTGAGTCTACCTCTTTCTCTGTACAGAAAACTCTCTGCAGGTAAGATGAACAKCACAACAACACTGCTGATAGTAAAACCACTTGTGCAATAAGGGCATAACCTTTGCTCAAAAAAATGCTGAATGAAAAAAACTGCTCAATATGAGGAATCTTCCAAGTTTCTGTTCACAGACTAATCTTGTAGCAGAGTTGCTCACCATGGGACAGTGCAATAAGGCCTCTCAAATTATAAAGTGTAAAACTAGTCTGCTGTGACTAGAAGACTCATCAAGATTATCAGGATTATTAATAAGCCTCCTACTATTGAAAAACAAAACAAAGACCTAGTAGGCAAGAGTGAGCAAAAGCACATAGGAACAGTGAGAGAAATTGCACAGTCTTTTATACACACTTAATAYCGTTATTATACTCTCACAATTTAGGGAGCAAGATTAAAATTATCTGAAAAGCTTACCTTCAGATGGTATATCTGCTCTTCTGTATCCAAATCTATACATTTTGTTGCTTTCTTTACAGACATGACAGAAAGTCCAACGTCAATACAGCCATGAAGCTTCCCTCTTTCTATCTGTAAATATATATATATATATATATACACACACACACACATATACATAAAACAACTCCACAGAAGAAAACAATAACCAAAAGCGTTTATAATAAATCACTACGATTACTCTGGAACAGAACAAAAGGACAGACATTAACTGCTTCATCCCCTCCAAATCTTCCTTGTTCAATCTTATATTTAGAATTGTTGAAATTTTATTTCCACTTCTCAGCAATATGGAAAGAGTAATGTTTGAGATAAAATACTCTATTTACCTTGTAATGGCCTTAGATGGTTTAGGACTACTTACATCAGCTTTGCATTTAGAGTATTTCAAAATCCCTCTGTCCAAAAAGAAGTATCTCTACGAGAAGAAAAGCAGAGAAGACTTCAGTGTTACTTTTTTGAAATCAGTAAACAACTTGAATATTTCTAAAGAGAACACATTCCTTACTCTTAAATAATATTTTGCAATGACAACATATACCATGCAAGACACATTCATACGGCATTAAGCTTTCAAAACCAAATTTCTTTCCTACCTTGTGCCAGCCTTTCAAGGGCCATTTCCTCTTTTTCAGCAAGCAGCCTTCCTGCTTCTGTGGTTCTTGAGTACAATTCATTGCTCCCCTGAGCCCTTCGACAATTTCCCAGCTGTCCTGCTTAAACAGAAAATACAAACCTAGCTCTTATTTTCTTTTCAAAGAGCAGAATTGATAGGAGAGGTTCAAGAAGAAGGCTGTATGTAAAAGAAAACAAGAGAATGTTGAAATTTAACCTTAGATCTAACCTTTTTATTATTTGTTACTCATCTCCCAAGAGACATAGAAGTCTTTTTAGATTAGAAGAGACAATATGAACTAAGACAATATGAACTAAGGAAAATGCTACTTTTCTGACATTATTTCTTGCAGAATGTATATGCTTATCAGAATTTTATATATATTTAAATATATATAAAATATATGTATTTACTTACACATACACAGAGTGCATAGGCACAGACTATTCACAGTTTACAATAAAAAGCTTTCTGCTGTCATGGGCAGAAACGGTCTATGCTAAAAGGCCACATTTCGTAGGTTATGAGGTAGAAATAACAGACTGTGAAAGCAAAGACCTTTTCTGTAATGCTCTTTTGCCTGTAGTCAGCAACTCAGCATTTTGTGTTCTGCTGAGAGTTGTTGTCTCCCTAAAGTAAAAGATTAAAAAAATACATATAAAGGAAAAAGACAGGGAAGCAATGCAAACACTATGAGGAACACCAGGTAAAGGCAGAGAATGAAAAAACAACTAAATCTTTATCCTAAAGATGATCTCTCTCTGATAACAACAACTCTTAAATGAAAGACCCTGCAGCAACACACAATAGAGAATAAGCTTCATGATAGTTTTAAAGTTCTTGTGTATGGAAAGACTGCTAATGACAATACAACACRAAATTTAAACTTCCTGATCTGAAATCTCACTCATATAAATTATCTTGTCAGAACTAGAAATTATTATTAATTGATAGAAAATTGCAAGTTATAACATCATTGCTGCATATGTGAAAAAAAGATAGAACACTGTAACCTGCAGAATTTAATCATCTAAAGGACTACTAAAGGATGTAAAGAAACACCAGAGGAAAAACAAACCTCTACCAGGTAGACAAATATTCGTGAGCTTCTCTGTAAATTATATAGGGAAGTATTTCCCATTGAACTCCGTATTTACTCTTCATCAAATACACTTGTTCCCATTTAATTTTGTTAAGTGCAAAAAAATACAACAGGCCACTCTTAGGATCCTTAAAAGGGGGGTCAAAAATAGTGAGTAAAAAGCCAGGTAACCTGCTCATTATTAGAGTAACAGGCACACAAACAAACTGTCCTGAAACATCTATTCATTAAACTCTTAATTGCACTGCTTTATTAAGACCATCCTTGTACTACACCTTAGGGAACAAGCTGCAAGGACAGTCTGCCTCCCTGGAGGGGGGCTCATCCTTCCGGCTACAGGCATTAGGAATACGAGGCTGAGCAKCTCCTACTATTGAATACCCTAGAAGGAAGCCCAGTGCTGTTCTACCACCTGTAGTAAGCCAAAATTGCACCTGTCCTGAACCAAGTTGTCTCCATAACAAGCACCTTGTGCCCTTACAGCTTTTGGGTTTGTTCTTGGCACTTTCTAATAAGTACTTCCTTTATTCCAAAYGATCTGGAAAGTTTCTGATGGCTACTTATATACCAGTATTTTTAATCAACAGCCATAAATTCACATTTTCCCCTACTGCAAATCACAAGCTGTGTTCCATAATCTTTACTTTTGATCCTTCCTTATTTGGGACTCCCTTGTAATTCTCAGTGATCACCAACTGGTTCCTGCTTGGGCACTAACTACCAGGATAGCAGGTCGGAAGGAGGGCAGTGGCTCAGAACCAGGAGCGAGCGGGCTGGAAGGAGACCCCAACCYGCTGGGGCTGAGCCCGGGGCTGATCCCGGCAGGGCCGGAGCGGAGCCCCCCGCTCTGGCCGGCAGTGCAACACATCGGGGCAYTCGCACAGCACTGACCCACGGAGCTTGGAAGGGCCTCTAGAGAGCACCCAGTCCAAGCATCCTGCTCAAGCGGGGACATCCAGAGCACGGGGCACAGGGTGGCATCCACATCCCAGGCTACAATTTTAAAGACAAAAAAGTTCTGCCATCTCTTTCGTCATAATTGGAAATATTAGGTCACTAAATGTGGGTGGTTTKGGATTTTTTCTCTCCCCTCATTTGAGATTATTTATTAATCTTTATATTAACCGCAAACATTGAGATTGTTAGKATGATACCACAAGATGCAGAGTTTGGTCATCAAATATTGTTATAAAATTATTGATTTTATAAATTCCCCTAAAACTACCTAGTAGGCCAAGGAGGTTGCTCTGCATTCTGCTCTCTAGTTTCCACTGCATCACTGCAGTGCATCCAGCACTGCATCACTGCCTGGAAAGCCCATGCTCCCACCAGAGCCTCTGGCCCAGCTCTGTCCCACAGCTCTGGGTGTCTGCAGGCAGCCCCACAGGCATGAGAAGGAAAAGACATTTCTCCATTTCTTCACATCCACACAAACCTCAGCTCCCATCCAGCTCCCAAACCAGGGTGCAGTGGCAATCACAGGTATTTATCTTTCAACAACTTGATTCTCTTTCCTTTACTACCAGGCAAAATCCCAGTTACATAACCTGCCCTCAATTTGCAGCACTGGAGCAGGGCCAAAACATCCTTTAGGCTACTGAACTGCAAGCATTAAAGAAAAAAAATCTCCAGCTCACATTTTCGTGCAGTAACTAGATGCTTCCTGGCCAAGAACAACAGTTTATAGCTTGCAAAATGGAAACGCTGCTTGTAGCGCAGTTAACAAATGAAAGGTTGACAGCACTTGCTGTCTGGGGCAAGAAATCAATTTTATAATTCACATTAAGTGAGCAGCAGCTAAATTGAATGCTGCAAAAAGGGCCGTGTGTGGACAAAACGCCCTCTCCTTAGGAAGCACGTTCTCGTAAAGGAGCCAATACAAAAACCAAYCTTGGCATTGACTGATTTCAAAGCAGCATCTTGGAAAAAGGTAAATAGTTTTTAAAAGTGAAAAAACTGAATGGTATTATAAAGAAAGTAAAGCTCAAAAAGAAAAGTGTGTTTCTGTATTTTTTTTTTTCTCTCCTTCTTTAAACTGGCCAGAAAATCTTCAAAGTTCTTTTGCCTGAGTCTGCCAAGAGGGGCTTACCAGGCAGGCAGTTTCCACTGCCTGAACTAAAATGCGTCAAACCGCATTTTCCAACACATATTTTTTCCACTGAAAATTAATCTGATAGCAGGCAAGACTACTAAGCAGTAGATCCTTTTTAACACTGTAGCATTAAGCCTAATGAAGCAAGTTGCTTGAACACTGGATCCCATTCCCATGGACTTTTGCTGTATGGTTGACAGAGGTCAACTCTCTAAAAAGAAACCAGCACACACACTCATCTTTCCATACAAGCTTTCCTACCAGCTCCTGCAGGACAGACACATCCCTCACTTTCTCTTCCTCGTCTCCAAAGGGAAAAAGACAAAGTTTTGTAATTAATTTCATTAATAAGAGTAAAAAAAAAGAGAAAAAGCTGAAGCTTCCCACTAAGCAGGCCCCAGCCGAGCATGAAGGWCCCTCCTGGGCTCTGGGTTCGTGCCAAGCCCATGGTGCTACATGCGATTGTGCCATACCTCAAATGGGGAAGTTTCCAACTGACATTTCTTGTACTCCAGGAGCCGCGAGCTCCTTGAGGAGCAAACTTCAGTTTGCAAGTTTTAGGAAAATTTCAGGAAGTTTTACGGCCAGCTAAACTAGGTCCTTTTAAAAGCACAAGAGCTTCTCTTAATTAACCGCCAAGTTACCCAAGGAATGACAGGGAACACTAGAGAAAATTAACAGTTTGGGGAAACTGTTAAATAACCACAAGACACAACCCTGCAACAAAACAGGCATTTATTTGGTCCTGTATTGCATCCATGTAGCCAGAAGAGCCTTTTTTTCCCCCTATCCAAACCCTTGTACTCCCACAGCTTTTAAAACACTGCCACTGTGACTGTTTTAGGATCCATTTTGCTCTTCACACAAGTCCAGTAAGATCTTAACCAGCATTTTAAAGAAAAAGAAGTTTTAGTTGCTATTGTAGGGACCAGCTGCAAAAGAAAACTGCTCACTATCTAAAATTAAGGCAAATGACTCAGGGTGGTTTGTTATCATCTGTTCTCATCTGTCCGAAATAGCAGAGGAGCAAATTGGAAATACAGGATTTCCTGAAAGCTGCTGGAAGCATTTCAATTATGCTCCATTTTGCTGATTCTTATCTCACAGCAAGGAACTGAAAAAATACCCCAGAGCACAGTGATAACAGAACGGCCACAGCTGAGTGGCATTAACAACACTGGTACAGGCCTGACGTCCAAGATAGCACAGGCTAAAGGTTATGACACTTTTAAGAGATTTTATAATATTGTAATGGGCTAATGTCTGCGTGAAAGGATCGCCGCCTTTGCTGGCCAAGATGGGACTTTCGGTCTAGGCGTGTGGAGGGATATACTGCTCTTAAAGCTTCTGATAAAGTGGTCCTCCTTTCATGTTAGTACTGGAAATTTGTCTCGTAGTTGTTACTTGGGTTACATCTATGTGGCTGGACAGGAAAAAAAAGAGGAAGTAATAAAAAAAGGACCCAAATCACACACCCTGGTCTTCACAGATAAGCCTGTCATTAGATAACTTGCGTTATTTTATTCAACAAACTAAAAGCACCCTGATTTTCTGCAATATTCTGTACTCTACAACTCCTCAAGGCCACAAATTACTTCAGCAGAAGGAATGGAGTAAGGAGTGGGAAAGACTCTCAGACTGATACTTGCTCTTGAGGCTCCTTGGGCAGAGCAGATGAGAGTGCCAGGCTTTCTTCCAATGCAAAACGCAGTCAGTTGTACTGCATATTTTAAAGTACCAAAAATAGAAAGCCGCTTTGTGGGGGATAAGGGTTTGCATCAGCTGCAACCAAAGCATTTATTACGGTTCATAAAATTGGCAGGAGTGATTTAATTTTCTTTTTTAGAACATGAGACTTTTTTAAACAGTCATCCTGTCATAAAGCTGTTCCCTACTGTATCTATTTAAAAAGTTGCTTAACATATTAGACTTTAAAAATTACTCCCGTGACAGACCTTCTTTTGATCACAGGCCAATTTCAATTTAAAGATGATCAACCACAGCTTCCTTTCCTCACCAAAAAAAAAAAAAAAAAAGCAAAACTGTAGCCCTGAGGAAGACAGAGATTCTATACGTGAGTGAAGGAGGGCAGGGGAGAAAACAGCAGAGGAAGCAGCAGGAGCCTCCCCCCATTATGGGGATTCAAGGTGAACTAGCAAGGTATTACTTGCTCCTGGGTACCTGTGCATACCTGCAATGAAGCAGGGTTTTTTTTGAAAAGAATAAAATAAAACATAAAATAGCACGTTCCTTCACTCCTGAGCTTTTCAGAGTTTCTTTCCCCTTAATTAGATATAAAGAACTGCCTTGTCACACAAGCAGCACAGTCCTTTGGCAAAACAGCAAGCAGTACTCAGGCAGATCTGTTGTTACCCTGCAAACAAAGAGGAGGYGGATTCTGAAGCTGCCCGAGAGAGGCACAAATATTTGCAGGATGTGTAAGGAGTCTTCMGTGGGACTAGAAGGCAAAGGAAAGMGTCTTACATCTCATCTTTCACTCAGCACATAGAAAAACTATTTGCATTGGTGTTAAATTCTATTCTTTTCTTCAACGACTTGCAAATGAAAATCCTGCTGGAGTTAAGTTGTGCATACAATATGGTTTTGTTTTTTAAATTTGAATTAGAGGTTCCTTACTGTTTTGTTTGTTTTTCAAGTTTTACAGAACTTTATATTATTGGTTTTCTCTTCATAGAGTACCTGAAGTGTTGTAGTTTAAACTACCATGCAGATGAAAAGGTCAAATTAACCTTGAGGCAGCAGCATTGCTCACCCAGTCTCRTCAGCCCTGAGCAGGTACGTAGGCAGACGTGGACGGAGAAGCTCCAACTTACCAGTCCAAAGGGCTGAGTGCAAAATAAAATCATATAAACAATACTACTCAATCCAATGTAATAAGAAATCTCCTGGGAGGCTGAGAAAGATCTCTATTCTTTGTTGCCTAGAGCAAAAACTCAAACCTTGTACTAGTAAATCAAGGGTATACTTAAGGAGACACAGACCTTTATAAGCTGCAAAACTGGAAGCTGCCGGGGAGCAGAAGAGAGAAGGGAACCGGTCTTCACCCAAACAGCTCCTGTGCCCGGGCTTGTGAATCAGCCTTGTGCAGTCAGTACTGCCTGTGTTAACACTAAAGGCCACTCCTTCCACACGGAGCAAGGACAACAATTTATCAAAACATTCACTCAAACATGCTACCAACCCAAAGTCCAATTAATAAAGAAATTTGAAAAAGCAGGGAAAAATAAGCAGCACAAGTTCTTTGTCAAGTAAACATCCAGACAGACTGCATACTACATCCAGACAGACTGCATACTGTACAGGATATTAAAATCTTTGTTTTCCACAGCCAAACTGTTTGTTCTGCAAGCTGCATGACAGCTTCAATGTGAAAAACCAGTCATGTGTAAAACAGCAAAAGCATCTGGGAATTTGGAGAAGAGCAGCAGTAGGAGCACAGCCATGCACATACCCTGACAGGTCTGGAAAAGAATCAGGATTTAGAGCTAATTAACTGTGTTTTTTCTTTTTTCTTTCTTGATGTAGCTAGACTGAGGCAAGAGCTCTCACTGCCTTCAGCAAGGGCTGGATAGGTGCAAAGGAAGTTCTGAGCATCTAATCTGGGCAGTTACTGTGCTTGGTACGGGAAGGAGAGGAGATTTTGAAGAATCTCTAATAAATACTAGAAGTCCTCATTAAGAAATGGCAGGGAAGGAAAACATAAGCAGAGCCTTAGGAAACACACGTGACTTCTGAAAGAGTGTTGCTAGGTTCTCTGCTGGCTTTACACTGGGCAGGGCTTTTAGCATTACTCAGTGACCATTTCACAGCATAAATAACAAGACGAATTCCGCCCACTTCTGCAGCTTGGTTCTGTCGTTGACAGAAGATGTGGACAAGTTACTGAACTGAAGCGCTTCTGGTTCCCTAGATGCGGAACTATGCTGTAACACTTGGTGCTGCAGTGACTAATCAGCRTCAGAAGAGAAATTCTGAAACATTATTCACGCCTAGCAGGAAGCAAAAACTAAGTTGACTTCATAATACATTGAGAAACAACCCACTTTACACCTCAATTTAAATTGACCTTATAGGTGCACGAGGCAACTTACCATCTGTCTGACCAAAGTAAATCATTGGTATGTACCAAAATTACAGAAAAAAAAAAGAAACAGTAAGTTGCATCTCTCACCTCCTTCAGCTATACCTTGCATTTCTGTACAGGCTGAGCAAGGCTACAAGCCTGCAAAGAGACAAGGTGCTATCAAACCTTACTGAATCCCTTCTTGCAGAAGGTGTGAGAACTTCTGTTCCTTTGGGTAAGCAAGGGCACTGGCTAACAGTGCAATTTCTGGGCAAGGCAGCTGAGCTGTTCAATAGATTTGGTAATTCAATGGAAATGAGGGGACTTTTTGAGAAACTCCCTTTGCATAAGTGCTTCTACTGACTACACAATTTAATAGTGGATTTAGTCATGCTTGTATAAATCTTATTATTAAAATACCATATAACACCACTTGATTGCCATTAGCTGTTGGAACAGACGGTACTAATGTCTCAAATTGCACTTTATTTGAGGTTATATCATACTGAGAATAGATAAATAGTACCGCAAGAAATCAAGAGTCCCCTGAAAGCAGGGATTTCCTAGCTCAGTGTACTAGWAATGCATACCATTTCTTATAATCACAGGCCTTTTAAAGGCAGAAGTTATTCAGAAATTTGCCTCTCTCCAATTGTTTGGAGGGCCAGAAGTCCCTGAAAAGCAGGTGCTATTTCAAAACACAGCAGAGGTCTGCAAAGCTTTCAGGAGACGTGGTTGCCCAAATCCAATTAAAATTTCAACCAGAAGCAGCTTCAAATACTCCACAAAGGCAGCATCTGCATAAATACAACTTTATGCCGAGCCCACTGCTCACACTCTATGCAAGCATGGCTGGTTCGTGTTCAAATCCTAACTCTCAGCGTGGCTGCAGGTCATTTTTTCTTGCCCACACACAGAGCCATGCTCCGTTTCACTAGCCTGGCAAAAACACTGATAGGCATGCATTTTAAAACTGTAAAGTGGAGAGAATAAATAATTTCTGCAGAAAGCAAGCATGTTTTTGGGTTTTCATCCAGGATCAGGCGTGGAGATGCATCATGCTACACATTTTCTTAGCTGCAGTTCTACAGCACAGACCGGCAATTTTAGCCACACTTCTGCTTTCAATAGGGGCTCTACATCAAATTTCAGAAAAACTACGTTCCCTTTCACACCAGCCTGCCCACCTTTACCTGGAAGCTTGAAATAAGCAGACCACACTCACAATATTCTACCACAGAATTGGCACATTCCAGGGAAGACTGGGGATTGAAGGGCCAAGGAAACAAAGCACCCTCRGAAGCAATGTTGCAATATAAAAGCAGCATACAATGAGATAAAAATCTGAATCAACCGTTAACCATTCCAGTTTTACACATGCCTGATATCCAACAACATGAGCTTAGTGTGCTTGACAGAAAACAAGCAGCAGCTGCTAGCAAAAACAGAAAGAGGAAAGACAGAAACACGATAAAAGAAACAAGCAACAGGACAACAAAATTTAGGAGAGGCATCACTACCCAAAAGCAAAAGTAACTCCCAATTTCAATAATTCTTTTAGTTTGGGGTGGAGGAAAAGCAGTTTTACCTGACGACTTCCTTGCTTGGAGGAACAGCTGCTCGTACTCCTTGAAGGAGACAACATTTTCTGCGATGCACCAAGGCTTTTCTCTTCATTCATGATTCAAAACAATTTGTTTCACATGAACTCAATTACAGCACTTTTAAAAGGGCATTAAGCAAATGTATTGGAAGACTCCTGAGAAAAATGCAGGACTCATCCTTCTCCCAACACATGATCTGCATCTCATGGAAATTCCTGAAAGAGAAAAACAAAACCATCAGATTTTTCAAGAACAGTCTCCTACTGTCATCCTGCAATATCAATCAAGAAATCATAATAAAGCCCTTGATAATATAAACTGACTACATTACTGTACGCCACTAGAAATGAATTCAACGAATGCATTAGGATAATTTTCAAGCATCAAATAGGAACAACCACCAATCTGGATTCTAGCTGCATGCTTCAGTCATCATTACTTACACAGAACACAACTGAAGTACTGTATCAAGCATCTTTTAAAAGATTTACAGTCAAAAAAAAAATGTACAGAATACAATTAATATCCATAAAGAAAGGCCGGTGCAGAACCAAAAACCAGGAAAAGGCGTCTAGGAAAACATAAACAAAAAGAACCCCATCTATTAGATACCTCTTTGCCCAGTTCCTTAATACATTAAGCAAGGTCGYGTGGCTTCAGGATGAACAGAATGGAAGAGACAGGCTGAAGTAAAGATTGCACGAACCCAGCTCCCTAGAGCTCTGCACAGCTCATTCTACCCACAACTAACCCTACCTGGAATCAGAAATGTGTAACACTACTCACAGCCATTTTCTAAGTCAGTGACTGGAAGACTAATTAATAGTTTGTTTAATAACAGTGGTGTTTGCAGAACGTGCAAATAAAAGCGATGCCAGTAACTTCAAATAATGGATTTCCAGTGTGGGCAAGAGTTGCCATGGTAACTTTCATTTTATTTTATTTTTTTAAACCAAGCAGAGGACATAACAAAAGGCTGATGCTTTCCAAAATGCCAGGGAAGAGGGTGTGTTCTACATCCCTTTAGATTTTACTGGTTTGCACATTAGAAGGACTGAAGGAACTACTGACTAGCCATTTCCATGAACAGGAGGAAAATCCAATTTCTAAGGTAAAGAGGCTCTGAAGTTATTGGGCCCCTTGCTTGCTTAGACTCACACTCATGTACTGTACTGAACCAGGCTCACTCAATACTGAATGACATTCATTTTTTCCTTGAAGAAGCTCAAAAAGCTATTCTGAGAAAAACAGGATTTTAAGATGCCTAGTGAAATTCTTTATGTATATTTTAAGAATTCAGCTTGCCCTTTTTGAAAAGCAGATGCTATATTTAAGATGAAGACAACAGCATGCCACAGAAACGTCTCTCCCTACTGCTATAGTTTGCAAATTTATGTTAAACAAGAGAGATGAGAGCTCCAGCCTCCAAAAGTCATGCGAGAAAGCGAGCTCTGCTGAGACCATTCCGTGGTGAGTCACTTTGGCAGTTATTTCCAGTAACCACCAGATACAAAGTCAACAAACACTAGAACTTAAGAAAAGCAAAACAGCTCAGTAATGTGGTAGCAAGAGCTGAGCTGAGCCTTGTGCACAGATCTTATGCTTAAAGCACTGTGGTTGTTACTGCAGAAGGTGTATTCTCCTTCTGTCTGCGAGACAAATTTCCCACGTCATTTCACTAAACACTCTSAAAGGATTTGTTTTAGCTCACTTTATGCAGGTTTTATGCTGCTTACTAAGCATAAAACATGACTTTCTTGATGAGGTTCAAGCTGCATTTAGTAAGATAGCTTAATGGCAGCATCTCTGTTTACATGCAGAGATCAAATATTCAGGACACGACTGTTTGGGACAAACTCACAGTTCAGATAAGTCCTTTAAAAGCACCATGCAGCAAGYGCTTCACCAGTGCACACTGTTTACTCAGCAGGCAACACGGCCTTCTTCACTGCTCAGTGTTCAAACTGAGTTGTGTACTATTGCTTTGTTTCCATTGCTGATTACCTGGCGTTTAGGCAAAGCCTAGCAGGCTCCATGACAAGAAACAGGCAGCTGATTTGCAGCTAAATGCACTGAGGGTTATCTTGGTGAGGCCCTGTGAGGRCAGTAGATCCCCAGGGCATACTGATACACGGGACATGCCCCTCRCCTTGCCCATTTGAAATACCCCACACAAGCGAGAGGATGCTCTGCAAGTTCCAGATAACTGGGAAAAACCAGAGGTCTCACTGATCTCAATGCAAAAAGGAGCCCTGTAATCAGACAGGGATTTCTAAGATCATATATACTCAGTGGGGAGCGCCGATGAAATCAAGGCCTCGGCACAAGGGCGTTTCGGCGCAGGTGAGCAGTGCGCAGGCCCCTGGGGACTCCCCGATGAGGACCGGGGTGCTCCGCAGCGCAGGCCTCGGGCACGGCCGCCCAGCGCGCTCTGCCCCAAAGCCCAGGGGTGCCCGGCGCTCGCAGCCTCGCGCCGGGCTGGTCCGGCCGCGGGACGGCCGCACGTGGGGCCTCCTCCCCACTAGCCGCCGCGCGGTCCGGCCTCCTAACGCAGGCACGGCCGGGCTGGGGCGCCTGCCGCCCACCTCTGGGCGCCCGGCTAGCCGCACACGGGAACCCACCCGCCCTTTGGAGCAAGACGAGGGCACATCCAAAGACATCCACATCCAAAGACGCAAAGTCTCGACTCTCCTCCATACTGAGAGCTGAAGACACCAGCCATATCATCCGAGGTGGCGGGAGGCAGGTAGGGTCAATGTGACACAGCTCATCTGCAGCAGCGCTTTGGCACTGTCTACCTTTGCAGTAGGATTTTTGTATTTTCCTTTATTCCTCCAGACTCCTCACTTTGTGAACTGAAGAGCAGGCTTTTCCCAGAAAAAGGCAGGAATGAAACTCATCCTCTGTGTCAAGTGTTTTACTGTTTTATTGGTGTTTCCCAGTAACGTAAATGATACTCTGGAGAATTCCAGATCCGAAGAGGAGGAAGCACATGCAACTACTGAAAAAGCCTAGAGTCGCCGYCAGAACAGCTGCATCCTCCAGAGGCCACTCTGGCCCCTTTCTATAAACAATYTTCTTTTTGAAGTTCAGGAATCCAAAAAAGTAGTCGTTTTCCAGCAACAACCAAGTCATCCTTCCAGTGAGGTGCGAACACCCCGATCCTGTGTCCCAGACAGGCTCTCAAGCCCTGGYTGCCAGCAGGGCGACTCATCCTTTGTGTTACCTCTGGAGCTCAGGGCTGTTAGGAATGGGAATAATTAAGAGTTTAAAGCAGGTACAAAGATCAGTATTGTTCTAAGCCCAGATTTCAGGGGGTTGTCACGTTTTGAAGTCACCGTGACACACACTGTGACAAAAAAAGCTTCAACATCTTTTGCTCATGCCCATGCCACCAGATTTGTTCTGCCTTCCCTCTAAGCACACGGTACCAGCTACCATGGTCCCCTCCGAAAAGCCAAGTCAACACTATGAGGTTGAGGCAAATTCTAATAAATTCTGGGTGGGAATTTTCACAAGAGTTAAGTATTGCCCTTATTCTTCCCTCTCAAGGCAGTTGCCACAGAAGTRGGCCAGGAGAGCACTCTTATCAGTGACATCTCACCAGGTGCGTTTTATGGAATTAAGAGTAGGAGGGTAACAGATATTACCGCTAGCTTTTGCATCCCAAATGWATATATAGCACTCATCTTTACTTGTTATCTGCTTCTAAGAGCTTTATCTTTCTAATTAAAGCAAAGCTACATGTATGACAGTATGTACCACAGGAAGATCTGCTAAAAATCTTGAGTTACCCTCAAAACTTTATGATCAACTAATTTAAGGCAGTTCTTCAATATTAAAATTCTTCTCTTGCAGCTCTCAAAACAATAAGGTTGCAGCAAAATGCAGCAAAAAGCACAGCTCCCAAAGAAGAAAGGCAGACATTCAGAAAAAGATGGCAAACTGAAGCACGCAATCAGCATTACCAACATAATTAATTAGTTTTGTTATGGCTCTAGAAGGAAAATAAAGGCTTAACAGCTGTTTCGGAGCTGTTTTGGCASTGAAAGAGCACTGAAAAGAGCATTTAAGCAGCAAGACCGGACGCGTGCGTCTTACTCTGTAGCTGCAGCCAATTAAAGTCTTGTGGGTAAAACAGGAGCAACAGCAGAAGGCCTGATGAAAGCCATGGGGGCAGAGTAAACGCATGACCGAGGAATGCAAATCAGGCTTGCAAACAGCRTCGACCTTCACTGAATTAAAGAGCAATCCATGCTAAAGCCTTTGCTTTCTAGTAATTATTTAAAGAGTTACATTCATTCACATYCACCTGTCTTATTTTTAGCAAGACATCCACCTGCCTTATTTTCCAACTAATGCTTTCGTGGCTTTCTCCATTATATTTCAAATTGTTGGGTTTAATCTATCCAACAGCCTCATCTGGCTCAGCAAAGGAAAGTTATATATAGGCTACAGACATGCCACATATAACTACTGAAGATGTCTTTTCAAGAAAAGAAACTGCAGTTCCAAAATCACCATAAGATTCGTGCTATAGAGGCCATAAAATGCCCTAAAACAAAACTGTACTATTTCTGGGTATCCATTTGTCAGAGGAAGAAAATAAGTAGAAGAAATAATTATATAAATTATTAAAATGAGTTCTGAATGCAAGCATCCATAACAAATTAAGAAAATTAGCAATATCAGGAAGTATTTCAGAAAGRACAATCAGATGCTGTCTCGATGCTGTCCAAATCACAACCTTGGTTGAGTATGTCTGTCTGCTAGGTAAAGGTTCGTGACATCTTCAAAATACTCTTGCAATGCAAACAGTTACCTCCATCTTGTCCACTTCTTTAAGGAGGATGTAGATGTAATTAAATCACACTACTTCACTGCTGCAAGAGAGGAAAAATTTAAACAGGGAGCAATGAGAAAGGGAGCAACAAATCAAGSAGGCTGYCAAAGAAGAATATGTTTCAATGTCAAGTCTACTCAGCCTCTTCTAAGACAACGCAAGCGTCTGCTGTTTCACCAGCCCTTGGGGTGAATGATGCAGTTCCTTATATTAGTAAGGCCTCATATAAATTTAGAAATAGGTCAATATGCATCCTGAAGTATAAGCACATATAAAAATACCACCTTTGTTCATGTCCACCATAGACATTCATTCTAATACTGCATGTGACATATGATTAAGTTTAAATGTGTCATGTTGACACTTCCCCC